ATGTAAGCAAAGATTTTTTATCTTTGTAAGCCTTTACAGAATTGATTGTTTAAAGCAAAATAATAACAAACTGTTGTGGGGTTTAAATGTTAATATACATTAAAGTAAAATGCTTGACAATAACACAAAGGACATGAAGGATTCAATATACCATTGTAATAGTCCTACATTACAGGAAGAGTAGTATGAATTTTACCCATGTGATAGGGTAAAAATGCACATTATAATTCCTAGAGAAACTGCAAAAAATAAAACAGAGTTATAGCTAACTGATTTAAAAGCTGATACATAGTAAATCACTAAAAGTTATTCAGCACGCTCCCCCCGCGCCCAAATATCGGAAAGAATGCAAAGAAAAAAATGGACGAATTAAAAAAACTGCAAGATGGTTGATTTATACCCAGTCATATAAATAAGCACATTAATGTAAATGGACTAATCACTGTAATTAAAAGGTGGAGATTTATCAAGCGGATTAAAAAAGCAAATCCTAACTATGTGCAGTTTTAAATACAAAGACATGGATAGATTAAAAGTAGAATGATAGAAAGTTATTTTTAAGATTTATTTATTATTTTTTAATTCAATTTTATTTATTTTGGCTGCGTCCACTCTTAGTTGCAGCATGAGGGATCTTTTGTTGGGGCACGCGGGCTCTTCATTGCGGAGTACAGGCTTCTCTCTAGTTGTGGCTTGCAGGTTTTCTCTCTCTAGTTGTGGCGCACAGGCTCCAGGGCACGTGGGCTCTAGTTGAGGTGCTCAAGGTCAGTAGATGTGGAGCGTAGGCTTAGTTGCCCTGCGGCATGTGGGATCTCAGTTCCCCAGCCAGGGATCGGACCCGCATCCCTTGCATTGCAAGGTGAATTCTCTACCATTGGACCACCAGGGAAGTCCCAAAAGGACAGAAAGTTTTATCCCTTACAAACACTAATTATGAGAAAACTAGAATAGCTGTATTAATATCAGATTCAAGGCGAGGTATATTACCAAAATACAGATATTTCATAATGACTGAAGAGTCAATTCATCAAGAAGACAAAACAGTCCTAAATATGCATACACCTAATAACAGAGCTGTTAAGGAAAAAAAACTGAGTAGGTGAGTTACAAAACAATTTACCTGAATGAAAATTTTAAACACAATATAAAAAAATTGATGGGGTACAACTAAAGCAATTCATAGAGAAAAACTTACTTTTTTTTGTGCTTCCTTTTTCCTTCTGTCAATAACTAAGGACTCAATTATCTTGATAAAGATATAAACCACCACCACGACGACGAATGATAACTACCCCAGTTGATTGGCTGTCCTTCCTATCTTCTCTCTTATTTCTTTTCTTCTCTTCACCATGACTTTGGTTTAAGTGGTTTGTACTTATGGTTATTAGCACCTGTTACTACTGTCCTGTCATCACTAATTCGTTCCTTATCCTCTTATCCTCATAGGGCAGCCCATCTCACTGTTGAACTCATAGTTGTTAAAATGACCTTTGTTATAGTAAACGCTATACCCTGAAGCTTTTTCCCATTGGTCATAATGATGCCCTCTGGGACTACAGAGAATATCAAGTTCACATTTCCACCATAGCCCTTCAGATAGTTGTTGAAGACGACCATTGTCTCCCCCGAAGTCTTCTTTTATGCAAAGTCAAAGTCCCTGGATCTTTTAGTCATTCTTCAGTAACATAATTTGAGTTATTTTACAACCCCGTAGTTTTCTCGATATGTAACTAACAATCTGTATGATCTTGTTCAAATCAGTATTATTATTATTTTTTAATGGAGAAAGTGTAACTTGCCCAAATCATCTAGTTTTATTTCATTTTATCAGTAACCCTTTATGTGTAGCATCCAAAGGAATAAAACGAGGTATATTCTGACTCTTGCTATCCCTTTGTTTTGGTGGTATCAAGATCACATTCAGTTTTCAAGTGTTATCCTATTTCGGGTTCATATGCTCAAAGAAGTTACCAAAGTATTTGTTAAGTATGCTACTATATATTAATGAACTGTGTAGCTGGTTTTCTGAACCAAGATGCAGGGCATTCCATTTATTTCTACTAATTTTCTTTTTCTTTTCTTTTTTTTTTTTTGCGGTACGTGGGCATCTCACTGTTGTGGCCTCTCCCGTTGCGGAGCACAGGCTCCGGACCCTCAGGCTCAGCGGCCATGGCTCACGGGCCCAGCCGCTCCGCGGCACGTGGGATCTTCCCGGACCGGGGCACGAACCTGTGTCCCCTGCATCGGCAGGCGGACTCCCAACCACTGCGCCACCAGGGAAGCCCTCTACTAATTTTCGATGTATTAGTTTGTCTGCCAAAGCCGTTTGGCGAGATGTCCTTAGATCGTAACTCTGCATTCCAGGAGGTACCAGCAATCTCATGTCATTAGCATACTGTATATGTTTCCCCTCAAATCATTAACAAAAATATTAAAGAAGATATGGTGTCTCATTCAGCAAAGATCGTTGACACCCGTTATCCTATGTTTTTAGAACTAGCTCCTTTGGAAATGTATTCGGCTCACCCACTGCTCACAGACATGGGAGATGAGGTGGTGCACTTTGGCTGTGAAGCTCTTCCAGGACACCCCTCCTGGTAACACTTCAACATGCACCTAGCTGCTCTCAGACCTTTCCACCTGCCACTTTCTTTAGCCTCCTATCTGCTCAGCCATGACCTGCAGGTATCTGGAAAGGGGAACTCAAGGATATAACCATCCTGCATTTTGGCCATTCGCGTCCACGACCACCATGAGAATGTGTCTCTTCTAACACTAAAAAACCAGGAGGAGATGAGAATCAGAAGGGATATGGATGAATAAAAGAATTAATGATTATGGGACTTCCCTGGCGGTCCAATGGTTGAGACTCTGTGCTTCCAGTGCAGGGGGGCGTGGGTCGGAGCCCTGGTCTGGGAACTAAGATCCCACGTGCCGCGTGGCCAAAACAAAAAAAAGCAAAAGAAAAAAGCATTAATGGTTGTAAGATTGGTGACTTATTTGGGGGGACTTGTTTGAACTAAGAACTACACAAATCTCCTGATTTCTAGACTCTCTTCAGCATCTTTCCCTCAATAATGGCAAGGGGAAAATCCATTCGAAACGAAGATTATCCTACGACCTCTTTACAACTGCCATCGTGTTTGTTACTCTGCCAGGAACCTACTGCCAGCAGAGGGAGGTGGAAGCCATCACAGAGGGCGATGAGGATGACAGAGGTTGCTGCTGCTGCAAACCAGGTCACCTGCTCCACCTGTTGTCCTGCAATGCCGCCTTTAACCTCCGCTGGCTCACCTGGGAGATCACGCGAGCGCAGTACATCCTGGAGGGCTACAGCATCATGGACAACAACGCGGCCACCATGCTGCAGGTTTTTGACCTCCGAAGGATCCTCATCCGATACTACATCAAGGTATTGCTCCGGGTCCCAGAGCCTTGTCTGCGTAATGATGCTGGGCTGGCTCCAGAGGCTCCTGGAAAGCTTTGTAAAGAGCCTAGGAAGCTTCTCCACAGCTTGTGCATCAGAGGCTTAGCTAGGTTTCGGAGCCACCGGTTTCCGTGAAAAAGCCTCGAGGGCTTTGGGTCGGCCTGACGTGCATGCCGCAAGTCCTGTCCTAAGCCTGGGCACCAAGAGGTAGTCTGTTTTCTTGCCCGGACATTCTTCTCCACTTTTAACACCACATGAGTTGATTGACAAATGGAAACATCCTGGAAATATGACCAGACCTCAATTTTTATGAGTTATAAGGATCAATTTAGAGGCTCTGCAAATTTTTACCTTTTAGAACCAGAGTTAATCTTTTCAGCTCATGATAAAAATGCAAAAATAGGGTTAAATGATCCAGTCAGGATTAGCTATGACAGCCTTTTCTTACTTACTCGTATGGGGACTAGTACATTTTTTCAGTTGCTCGGTACCTACATCTGCTCAACCTGTATTCAGCCTCAGAACGTGTGCTGGTTTTGAATAAGTCTCCTAGAGGAGACTTACGTGAGACTTGACCAAGGATGCAGCCTGATAAGAGGGGCGAAAGTGTTTTCTGAGCGGGGCGGGACGGGCGAGGGTGTCTGTGGCTGAGGGTGTCTGTGATGGCTCCTATTCTGAGGGACTGCTTTGCATGGTGAAAGGCCTGGGTGGTCCTCAGAGGGGTCCACATTTTAATGCCGGTCACAAGGAAGAAGCTTATCCACCTGAGACCCCAAACCCTCTGCCAGCTGAGGCTGAGACAAGTGGTCCAGCAGAAATAAGGAAAGAACAAAACGGAAAGGTAACACGGGCGGGCGCCTGAAGTTTCAGGAATTCCCGTCAACTAAAAAGGAGGACGTTTAGAAATTGGAAATAACTCCTGGGGGGAGCCCTAGCGTCTGCAGCAATAGCTGCTAAATTGTTCAGGAAGTAGAGTTCAGACGATGAAAACCAGAAGGTTAAAGAACTCCTGATGATTACACCCCAAGGTTATTGCAACAAGAGATGTTGGTGCGGCAGAGATGTTCTGTGGCAGAATATTTAAAACAGCTTGAGCAGTTCGTGCTCACCACCTTAGTGTGTGCTAGAGGGATGCAAAACTTTACATCCAGACCTCACACAAAATGATAAACGTTTGCCCAACCTCACACAAATTGGGGAAGATTTGGGAAGTGAATCAGGAAGTTGTGATCTTTTGCTGCACGACTCCATGTTTGTTCCCTTGGCCGTTATATCTGAGACCCAAGAAGTTTTTCATAGAGTCAACTCTTGGGAAGTTGTGTCTATCAGCTGGTGTTGACTTGGCAGTGGGCCGTGAAATGCCAGTGGCACAGGCACGCAGGAAGTGTGTTCCTCTCACATGTAAACGAAGCTCTACTCCAAGTCCTCAGGGATCAAGGTCCCTTCCAGCTCCCAGCCCCACCATTTTTAGCGTCTCCCCCATCTTAAGGCTTAAATGGATGGAGAGAAGGGCACAGAAAGTGAAGGCCAAGGGCATGCACAAGCCATTCCTTAAGAAGTTTCCTGAGGGACTTCCCTGGTGGTCCAGTGGTTAAGAGTCTGCGCTCTTAAGGCAGGGGGCCCCGGTTCGATCCCTGGTCAGGGAACTACATCCCGCATGCATGCCGCAACCAAGAGCCCTCACGCAGCGATGAAAATCCTGCATGCCGCAACTAAGACCCGGCGCAGCCTAAATAAACAAATAAATAATAGATTTTTTTTTTCTTTTAAAGAAAAGGAGGTTCCTGAAAGGTACCACAGTACGCTGTTGCTGTGTCCCATTGGCTGGAAGAGATTGTCATATGCCAGCTTTGAAGGGTATTCTGGGCAGCCATGAACCCAGACAGAAATTGTGTGTCATGGAAAAAGGGGAAACAGATGTTAAATGGCAACCAGCTGTCTTACTTACTTACTTTGGGAGGTGCCTCCCTCCCAAAGGAGAGGGTCCCTTGAGGATCCGCTTTAGTTCTAGGTGGCAACAGGATGGGGTCATTGCAGGGGGGCTGGATCCAGGGGCCGACAGCAGCCGTGCCAGGGCTGGGAGCTTACTCCGAGGTGGTAGCTGGGGACAGCAGTCTAGATGGGCCAGATGGATGAGCCCTGGAGCCACACGTCTCCTTGGTGCCCCAAGAACAGGGCAGAACAGAAGGGGGCAATTCAAGATGACGGAGGACAAGGGCCTTGAGCTCAGCTCCTCTCACGAAAACACCGAAAACACAAGCAAATGCTGAACAGCCATCGATAAAAAAGACCGTGTGCCGCCAGAGCCCTCTGCTGCTACCTCTGTTGGGCTTTCCACTCCCCACCCTTTCCTACGCATGTGTGCCCTCCCCATCTCCGCCCTTGCATGGCTGCATCCCAGCCCCCTCTTCCTGCGCTGCTCTTACAACCTGAGCTCCCAGAGCAGCTCCGCCTCACATCCTCCCTGGGGTCCGGGCTGCCATTTGCCTCCCCGTCCTCTGAAACCTTTTCTCTTTCC